ACACAGAGATGACCTAAAGAAGCCGTGCTAGTCTCTCAGAAGTTCTGGTATCCTGTATGAAGTGAGCAGGCACGTGTTTTTATATATGTTGCTGTGTTTCCTGTCAATGAAAAATTTCGCCATATCCACGAAGTGAATGATGATGAGTGGGCGAAGCTCCGGAGGTAAACCTGGTAAACCATGAATCCTCTGTACATTTTGCCCACTCGATTTTATTACATCGCTCCCCCTAGCGTACGTCGCCGCACTAAATCGAACGATTGCCTTCAACCAATGACACGCGCCATATGTGACATCATTCCTATTTTATAAGATCTCGCGACTTTCATCAACTACAAGTACCGCTTTCTAGTTTATAACATCTTGCATCTTTTCATCATCAGCTACAAGTACCACCATCTAGTAAACACTACAAGAACTAAACGAGAGGTGGCTACATACAGGAGACGGCACCGCCATCTAGTGAACACTGCAAGAACTAAACTAGAGGTGGCTAGGCAAGGTTCTATTTGGCGTTGCATAAGTTTGTTGCCAGACTTTGGGGTGGTTGTTGCCAGACTGCCGCTAAATTTGGCAGAAAATTTTTCTCCTGTAGTTGTGGCTTCTTCGTAAGAATTTGGTGCTATCCGCGGTGCACTTCTTGGCTGAAAACTTTTCTCCTGTAGTTGTGGCTTCTCCGTAAGAATTTGGTGCTATCCGCGGTGAATTTTGCGAGTGCATGAGCGACGCTGGCCGTTTTAATTAACGGAATGGACCGAGCCTAGCAGAAGTCGAGCGCGGCGCTGCCGTGCAATTAAGAGGCCACAACAGTACTGAAAGTTGGGCGAGTTGGTACTCATTCATGACTTCTTTGCGCAAACACGTACACGGACACAAGGAAAAGAGGCAAACAACACGGGCGCAACCGTGTTGTTTGCCTCAACTTGAAACAGCCTCAACGCGCCCGTGTTGTTTGCCTCTTTTCCTTGTGTCCGTGTACGTGTTTGCGCAAAGAAGTCATGAATTAAGAGGCCGTTTTAATTCCGTTTTAATTAACGGAATATACCGCGCCTAGCAGAAGTCGAGCGCGGCGCTGCCGTGCAATTAAGAGGCCGTTTTAATTAACGGAATGAACCTCCCATTACAGAAGTCGAGGCGCGTTCTCTTGCTGTGTGCGCAGCTGTGCGATTAAGATATCGCGTCTCAGTATTAGGGATTACGGGGAAAACTGATTAGAGTCGCAGGAGGGGATGCGCTGCCCCCCTTCCCCCTTACTTTTCTTTTTTTTTCTCTCTCAGCTGATCGTGTCGCGTCGACCGCGCGCTACGATGGGGGACGCTACGCTTCCCCTAGCTGTGTCAACACAAGACACATCGTCCCGCGCTCGACTTCTGCTAGGCGCGGTATATTCCGTTAATTAAAACGGAATTGAAACGGCCTCTTAATTGCACGGCAGCGCCGCGCTCGACTTCTGCTAGGCTCGGTCCATTCCGTTAATTAAAACGGAATTGAAACGGCCTCTTAATTGCACGGCAGCGCCGCGCTCGACTTCTGCTAGGCTCGGTCCATTCCGTTAATTAAAACGTCCAGCGTCGCTCATGCACTCGCAAAATTCACCGCGGATAGCACCAAACTCTTACGGAGAAGCCACAACTACAGGAGAAAAATTTTCAGCCAAGAAGTGCACCGCGGATAGCACCAAACTCTTACGGAGAAGCCACAACTACAGGAGAAAAATTTTCTGCCAAATTTAGCGGCAGTCTGGCAACAACCACCCTTCCAGTCTGGCAACCACTTATGCAACGCCAAATAGAACCTTGCCGGTGGCTACATACAGGGGACGGTACCGCCATCTAGTGAACACTGCAAGAACTAAACTAGAGGTGGCTACATACAGGCTACAGGGGACGCACAGCCCACGCCCTAAGGAGCTTCGCCCTTAAAATTTAACCAAGCACATCAAACGTCTACATCCTCTTTGTTCTCACATCATTCTTTCGAGCACCAGGTACTGGAAGTGAAAATGTACTAACTCACTACACTGAGAAAAAAAAATGCGAGTAGAGAAGGAATTAGTTCTGCAGTAGTACTACCAGAAACCTTGCGAGCAGTGGCACTCTGTTTTGGTTAGTAAGCTTTATTTGTGAGTAATAAATTGTTAGCTTGATTATGCCGCACTCTAGGGTAACCAAATTCTTAATCTAACGAAATCGTTAACATTTTTTTTTCTTAGTAAAACTGACGAAATTGAGGGTGGTCATGTCATGTACATGTGGGGAGGAACTTTTTGTGGGATTCTTGAGTGTGTGTCAGTGCATTCTAGCGCCCTTCTACAAAGCATGTTCAATTTGCATCCTCCCTTTTAATTCGCTCTTCCTGTAGGCTGCTGTGTAACACATTCTTTGGTAATACTTCTCAAAATGTGCAGTAATCGGCCTAGTTACCAGTAAACCTTTATTTTGTCCATTGTGCGGCGCTGCACTTTACCGAATGCTTTTATCATTCCAGTCGTCACTGCGGACGAATTCTGTGTGCCAAGTGTTCCGAGAAAGACATTCCAATTCTCAAGTTCAACCTTAACAAACCGGTGCGAGTATGCGGGGTGTGCTTCGACGTGCTGACGTTGGGTGCATCGGCCACCTGACAGCCGGCGAGAGAAACTATTCGTCAGGCTGCCACAACATTCAGGCTTAAAAGGTGGTTCTGGTAGAGGAAAAAAGAAATGTATGTCCCACCGCTGCTCAGTTCAACGAAAGTCGCACTCTATTTTCTTGTCCTGGAATAGAGGGCGTGTTAAATACTGTGCTATACCATTTGTACAAAGACGTATGCATATATGCCTCTCTCTTCTCTAAAGGGAACACAACTCCCGTTTTTCTGTAATCCACTATTTATACAATTATATTAGCCCCTCCCAGATAGCCTCGTAGGGAGGAGAGACGACCACAAACGTCTCCCAGTTGTACATGGGACAACATAAATAAAAACCAGTGTTTTTTGCATCAAAGAGCATTAAGACGCACTTCACTGTCTTGTATAAATAAAGATCTAATTCGACTAGATGAGTTGCATGCCGAAAAGCAGTGCTGCTTTCATGACAACAGCGGAAAACTCCTGTTAAATCCTGGAGGGACCAGGAGAATGTTTCATATAATAGGTGGTTCATTTAAAAGGAGATAAACAGGGGGGCAGAATTTAAATACAACACCAATTGTATTCGAAGCAGTTCCATTTAAGCAACTGTTTCGTTTACCGAGTGTCGCCCCGCTGCGGTGGTCTAGTGGCTAAGGTACTCAGCTGCTGACCTGCAGGTCCAAATCCCGGCTGCGGCGGCTGCATTTCCGATGGAGGCGGAAATTTTGTAGGCCCGTGTGCTCAGATTTGGGTGCACGTTAAAGAACCCCAGGTGGCCAAATTTTCGTAGCCCTCCACTACGGTGTCTCTCATAATCATATGGTGGTTTTGGGACGTTAAACCCCACATATCAATCATCGTTTACTGAGAGTCTGATACAGCTTTAAAATTACGGAGTCCCCCCCCCCCCCCCCCCTCCCTCCCCGCACGGATGACTGAAGCACCAGCCGATTGCCTCCACAACTAAAGATTGCGCCACAACTGCTCTTGCAGTTGCCAATGTTCTCCGAAGGAGGCGTTAACGGCCGCCTGGCTCGTGACGCCATTCTGGAGTGCGCACCGATTGGTGCAGGCTTGTATGCATCGGCCTCCGAACAGGAAATGCCGCAGAATGCTGAAGTTACATACGACTATATTGGGACATGTCCCTCTCTCTGTGGCACACGCACTGCAAACCTCCTCACACAAAACAAACCTCGCACGCTCATTTCGTACTGATGGCAGCATGCATTGCATTTTTCCATCTGAAGTTACTGCAGATAAAAAAATCTTATTATTAGTGCCTCACAGCGTTTTCCATGCTAGCATTTCTTGATTGGACGTTCTGCTCGACAATCATTTCATTGAGCTAAAAAAAAAAAGAAAGGGTACCATAAAAATTGGCAGTCAGTTTTTTTAAAGATCTGATTACGCAAGCTCTCCAGCGGGTGAAGCAGTGCGAGCGAAGCACATAAACACGAGCAATATGCTAAACTGTCAAGATTGTACACACAGACATGAACTAAATGAAGGCACCCATTCACGCTACACCTTCGAGTCGTTTGCAGCATTTTGAAAGTAGGTAAACGAGCCCTCAATAAGACTGAAGAAGCCAATGCCAAAAATCAGTTGAGTGTCCATATAACTGCTGTTGCAATAATAAAATACCATTTTATTAACACAAATGTACATTTCCTTCGAACATGAACACGTCGCAACTTAAACTCGTATTTACACACAGGAAGAAGATGCACCTTCAGCAACCTTTGAACAATAAATTAAATTTTGTACAGAAGCTTATCCAATTTCAATGTTGGTTTAGCTTTACATCCTTTGAGAAACCATGTCGCAATGTTTTCAAAAAAGGGCAGCCGACATTTTCTTTTCCCTTCGAGGGAAGCAAAAAAAATTTTTTTTTAGCTTCTCTGCAAGGCATGTGCAGTGTTGAATATCTTCAACACACTTAATCATGATGTGAAATTTCATACTTTTTCTGCCCTTCAGTGGGCAGCAACTATTTAGATAGACCAGAAACACAAATGTCATCCAATTAGCTTTAGCAATGAAAACAAACTTTGAGGTGCATCCCGACCTTGGTTACGCACTAAAAATGCTTCACTTTAGCAAAGTAAATAATACACGACAGCTCATCTGTGCATACAAACTGTGCCGTGTGACATTATTTACAAATAACAAAAGTTGCCCCAGAACCTTTTTGATCCTTTTGACACTTCAAATAAAATTCAAAAAGGTTAAATATTTAAAAGTTCAAATAAAATTAAAATGCAAAGCATCCTTAAGTAATGGCAACAAATTTCATAGAATAGGGCACAGTGAACAAACAGGTGGCGAGAAACGACGGCAGGGTAAAGTCTGAATGCATTAAAACAGCAGTGTTATGAGTCTAATAAATTTAAAAATACACTGCATGACAATTGTGGGTGTAAAGAAACTTTTCAGGGACAGTTTACGGCAGAAAGTGAAAAATTTTCTAGTATCTTAAATTTAAAAAATGCACTCCTAGATGTCCATATCCATACCCCTTCTCCTACTCTCCACAATATTGCCAATACATTTAATTTCGAAAATTTTGCGTGGGACCGCAGTTGCTCCAAACATTTGGCTTCAAGATCGAATCGAAACATCAATGCAGTCACCATCTTCCATGCCCAGCTCTTCTGGGGTGCTGCGAAGCTGCACTTTCTCTCCGTCAAACTTGTAAACAAGCTTGGAAAATTGAAGTCCAAGTTTTTCGGCAAACGTCTTGGCCCCCTTCTGCAAAGGCTCGTCCTGCAAAGGATAAAAATGATGGCAAGTGATTAAAGCGCCTGCACACGAGAAATAATGACTGTGATCACGGTGAAATACCAGCCATGCTATGCTGTTTGCTGCGGAAACAATGAGGAAAGAAAGCAGTGCACAATAGAAGTGCAGCTCCCAGCGAGCTGCAATTTCTTTTAAAACGATTGCATAATTATGGATCACCTGTTAAGCTAGAATTGCTCATTCCATAGTAACTAATTCCTGTGTACTTTATGCAGACTGTATGTAATGACTCAAATGTAGGTTGACCCCTTATCGCATGGCAAAACAAAGAAAAAGAAAAGCGTGCAAATGCATTTCGAGCTTATGTCGAAAGAAAACAAATTCGAGTTCTGGTGCGTAAAGGTAGTTTAACAGCAGTGCTATAAAGCTATGCAGAAAAGCTAAATTTTCCACGAACCAGTGCCGAGGGTTAGGGGAGGGTTACACACAAACAAATGCAGTATATGTTGTAGGTAGAGCCGGAAGGATATTGTAACCATGCCACAGCATGTCTTATTCCTCGCCTGTTTCGATTATAAGTTGACCTCCCCAACTTTACATTTCAAATTTAGATAAGATAGGTCGATTTACAATCCTGTAGATACAGTAGCTGACACTACTTCGTATGTCACATGAGAAGGAAGGATCTAGATATATGCAAAGTAGTTTAATGTAACATTAAATCTCATGCTTCGATGTAGTAAAGTAGTATCAACAGTTATTATTTTGGCAAAAAGTTTTTGCTATTGATTGATATGTGGGGTTTAACATCCCAAAACCACCATATGATTATGAGAGACGCCGTAGTGCAGGGCTCCGGAAATTTTGACCACCTGGGGTTCTTTAACCTGCACCCAAATCCGAGCACACGGGCCTACAACATTTCCGCCTCCATCGGAAATGCAGCCGCCGCAGCTGGGATTTGAACGCGACCTGCGAGTCGGCAGCCAAGTACCTTATCCACTAGACCACCGCGGCGGGGAAAGTTTTTGCTATTGAATAAGCACAGTGACATATTTCTGCAACAAAGAGCTACAGTACACCGCATATAGATAAAATGGCATGTCGTAGACTAGAAACACGAAAGTGCAAAATTATTACCGCTGTGTTTTCATTCAACATTGCGCCCAAAAGCTGTAGTGTAAATCATTACTACAGGGCATGGCTATTCTGTAGAAAAGCACCATAGATGTAAAATTAAAGAAATGCCCTGTAGGTGGGCCCTGCTGTGTTGTATTTAGTTTAAGTGATGACTTTTATAGGAAACCTTCCGCAGTTCCATGCATTTTTTTTACAGAGTAAGGACACTAAAGAGAAAACGATTTTTCGTGTACTACACTTAAACTTTGACATAGCGAACCCAGATATAACGACATGCGGTTATAAAGAAGTGAATGAAGAATAGTCTTGCAAAACTAATTTTTGGATATAATGAACTTATTTTCGTGTAAGATGCAATTAAATTATAATGAAGTTTGAGTGTAATATAGTAAAGTGCAATTTCGCAAACCCAAGAACACCACTCTTACCACGACGTGACATTCGGAAAGCGAGTAAAAGAAAATGCGGGTGGAGACACCACTTTGAGGTTCCCACAGCAAAAACCGTGACATAGATTTTAATGGCGTCTACCAAGTCCTACATAGTTTATAATCATTAAAAATGAAGTATTTACATAGCAATCAATGAATGCCATACACTTAACATACGAAGTTTCAGGAAATTTCGTCAAGGAAATGTCACCAAATACGAAAAATACATTTTGAAATTCGTGACATCACACGTGCAGATTTCGGTGCGAAATTTAAAAACGAAACTTCAATCTTGATTTTCTCTGCTACTAATACTAATGAACTTGTGATGGTGAAGCTTATAAAATTAAGAGTTTCAGAGTGAACTTATCAATATAAACCAAGTCATCGTTTTACTTGACAGTGTCCTTTTAAAGGCAATATAATTACACTTGCGGTGCTTCATCATTTTTCACTGGTCGCAAACACTTACCGGGGCTACTTCAATGCTCTCTGAGCCGTGTTTGTGGGCACACTGGAACCTCAGCGTGATAATATTTGCTGTCTTGCTGGAATTACCTGCATACTTCCTTATGATGCAATCTGCAGAAACCAAACAACACAGTGTTAACACATTGCTTCTTCAAGCTGCTCTTTGAGTAAACACACACACAACTCCTGAAATGTGACATGTCACAAACAATCCAACTTTTTTACCTAATACTTTTCATGGAAACTTTCCAATCAATTCCATAACAAACATAAGGCAAGGATCGCTTCAATCAAGCCTGGTCTATGCCTCCTTTTGTCTGCTCCCTCAGATTACACAAGCAACATAGGAACTGCCAGTGCATCACTTGCGTTATGATTTTATGCCATTTTCCTCATCTAATGATTCCCATTCGCAATAAGTCTTTAAAAAGTGGTATCATAGCTGCCATTCCAAAGACACCTAAGGAATGAGAAAACAGAAAAAAACAGCCATGAGTTTGGAACTAACTTAGGCTGTCGGCTGATGACAAGCCAAGGCTTTGTGGTGTGTCCTCAGGCTGGACAGGCTGCTCCTTTGCCAACAGCATCACTTGACGTGTTTCCACACCACACTCGTCAGCCAGCTTCTCCAAGATCTCGGCAAAAGGTTTGTCCTGTTCGGGGAATCGTGGTAAATGTGGGTCACCGAATGGTCCTTCATCTGCTTTAAACTGACAAAACACTTGTTCAGCATGCGTAAGATGATATGGTAGTTTTTTCTAGTATTAAAAAAAATGACCTTAAATACTGATTTAAAGGGCCCCTCACCAGGCCTCATAACAAATTCTAGTTAGACGCTCGCAGTTGTGTGTTTGAAGAGCATTAGTGTCACCAGAATTTTTTCAGTCGGTTCCATACGAGCCGCGAAAATATGTATTCTGAAGCGGCAGTGAAACCCTTGCCGCTCGTCCCACATAACCTTCGCAAGCCAAATTTCTTCCCTACCCTCTCTGACATCTGAGCAAGAGGTCACGTACCGTGATGTTCGCGAGCTAGCCCTACCCCCAAGCACGTGAGCCGCGTTAGTTTGTTGACCAGCGTTATTTTGTGGTACACTGCCTGTTACTGTAGGACAGATGCCTCGGTGCGTGCATGTTTGGAATTAGACTCAGTATAACAGATGAGCATATTGAGTGCTCCAATGTGCAGGACCATTAATTTTGTTTTCAAGGCTGGCGTCTTCTCGATGGGCTAACCGCAGAGGACAAGAAAGCATGCACATTAGCCCCGCGTCTCGTTGCAATTTACAGGGGGAAAAAAGGAAAAAGATGGGCACCTTCCCTTTTCGTGTCTCATTGTTTATCTCAAGTTTTATTAATCTATTAAATCAACAAATTACACAAGCTACACATGTCGTGTGAAATAATTTTTGCCCTGTCATAAGCTGCTGTTGACGACGTCGGAGCACAGTCGTATATGCTGAGGACCTACATCACAGCACTACCACCTACGTAGGGCACTTTCTACGTCTACGTCATGCCCTCATTCTCTGGGTGCATGCCCGCGAAAGGAAGAGAAAGCAGCGTTCATCTTGGAATTTGACCCATTTGCGCGGCGCGTGACATTGCAAATTGTGGCAGACATGATCGTGAATTCCCCATATAGCCTTGCGCTCGTCAGCTCAAAATTGTCAAACCTGGTGAGTGGCCCTTTAAGGCTGCTCTTTTTCTTGAAGTCCTGTATTGCATCAAATCAGCTTAGCTAGAACCACAACTCATTCAAAGCTCAATGTTCCTTAATGTCGACAATAACAATATTGACATTAGTGGCCAGTGTGATGTCATAAATACTGAAGGTTCTTTTCTTTTTTGTATTATGACCCTTGTCTTGGAAATGGTTCTTCAAACATGCAAGTTGTTTGCTTCTTCCGAGATAAATTATAAAACATACTGCTTCATATTTATAAATAGTCCATGCAGAACTAAAACTGAAAGAATGCTTAAACATTCAAGGGAATCGCAATTGGCTAATCTATGTAAGGTTTCACGGCACTCTCAGCTTGCAAGATTGCACTGAACATGAGCTGCTAAGTGAAGACAGCGTACCCGAGGTATGGTGTACATGAGCATTCGATACTGGCATTGCACCATGAGAATCAGGTTTTCCTCTTCTTTTGGCAGTGACACAGGGCTTTCATCTAGACACACCAAGCTGTCTGTTGAGTCGTCGTCTGATGAGGTAATGTCCAGGCAAGTCGCTTTTTCCAGCATTTCCAATTTCCTGCAATAAAGAAGTGGACGCAGTGTGTTGAAAAGTTGACCGTACATAAGCGATGTGCCATTATATTTTGCCTGTGACAGGCGCACGGAAAAGAACACAATTGCGAATATACTATTTTTGAGGTAAGAACTGAACACTTGAGCTTTAAATGAAGGGACTGAATTCAAGAATTGTACATTCAATTATGATCAAATGTACAGGATTGGGACTAGCAGCATGCCTAACACAAAAAACGTTCTGTGCATTGGTTTATCCTTAACTCCTAAGCAGAGATTATGGGCCATCCAGGAACCCTCAAATACCCTTTCCAATTCTGCTATTGACAACTTTCACAATGTCACAAATTTATGAACGGAAGTTTTATGTATTTTTGTATTTTGTGTAATTGAAGGTATTTTTTTAACCTCGCTCATCATGTTTCATGTGACCTCGTGCTCTTATCCAAGCATATTGCTCGGTGGCGTAACAATATATGAAAAAAACTTCCCATTCAAACAACAAAAAAATTCGAAAGTGTTGAGCAGGCAACCTGCAACAATTAGGTTGTCATACCAGAAACCAGTAAGGTGAAAACTACAGAAGTCGGTGTATCTTGTGCTAACCATAACATTTCTATATAAAAAAAACAATTAGATAAATCTCGCTATATCAAGCATGGTGTATTTATTTCATCACTAGGAACTAAGAAAGGTGTCTTAAACGTAATGGTAAAAACGCTTCGATTTGGATTTCACAGGAAACGAAAAATTTTCTGCATTCATTAAATGCCGAATTACCAAATCTATTTAAAAAAAAGCATGAACAAATGTCTGTTACATCAAGACACTGTCATAGTCTTAAAAATTATGTAACTCGAGTAGTTATTTTGCACAAGAGCAGCATAAAAGCTGTAATTTTCATCTGCCTGCTACTTCGTTTTCAATGCACCATGGTGCCAGGCTTTTGTATTTATTTAGACGAAAGCACGCTCTGCAGTCCTCCCTTATTATGTACGACCATCACCATGAGCACATGGCGGTAGTTCTCTTGCAAAAATGGCCAGCGACTGATCATTCGTGCACTACCACCTAGCAAACGAGTTTTATGCCAGCATGCATGCCACGGCAGATTACTCAGATTATTCTACCTATTCCAGCGTAACTAACTTAAAAAACCGTGCTGAGCTAGAGGATTTGGCCATTTGTCGGAAATATGCACGCCTATCACTTTTCCACAAACTTTACAATCACCCATCATTACATGACAGTTTCTTTGAACCCGCCTGTTCCATCTTTCCCCGCCGTGATCATCCTAACAAAGTCAAACGCCCGCTATCTCGCACACTTCGTTTCGCTCAGTCATTCATCCCGCGCACTATTATTGAGTGGAACAGTTTGCCTGCACATATTGCCACCGAGAAAGACTCGGTAAAGTTTTCAGAGCTCATGCGCACTACGGTGACTAACTAATATTTTTTGCTTTTGTTGTTTTGTTTTCTTTCGTTTTTTGACTATTGTATAACGCCATGCAATCGCTGCCCGTATTCATGGTTTGCGCTTTGTTGCGGTTGTCAGGTTGCACTGTATCTCGCTGTAAACCATGTTGTATTGGCCCCCCCCCCCCCCTATGTAATACCCTCTTCTAGAGGGCCTTTAGGGGTAACCTGAATAAATAAATAAATAGAACGATCATCTTCAACCAATTTTGCCATGTTTGAGTTTTGTGACACTGCACGGGCATTTCATTAAGTTGAAACGAAGCTGCTAAGTGTGAGATCAGCATGTGGACAAAACTGTGTATAATAATAGACATAGTGATGCGGTCAACACCACATCATTTCAGTTGTTTGTGAACACCGTTTTCACACTTTGCTGCACTATCATCCGAATTTATCTTATTGTAACTAAATATGACGAAATTAATGAGAGTTTGATTACAATAATCAATGCATGATGTTACGGGGAATTAAGTATACAAGGTGAATATACTGACGAGCAAATGCGAACAATGCTGCTGCAGTCCGAGCACGTTCCACTCAGCACTTCGTCGTCGTCATCCTCAGGCATCTACTTAGCCCTTGACATTACCCACCGGCGGCAGAAGCACCGTCCCGGTGCGATCAATTCTCGGGGCGTGAGTAGTATGGTTGAAGCCTTGAGACGTGCACTATATCAGTCGGTACTGAAGTTGGTACTGACGTGGTATGGAGTGGAGCTATCTCACAGGTCACGCTGGTGACCTTGCGTATGACGCGGTAGGGGCCAACGTAATGGGACATCAGTTTTTTGCAGAGATCAACACGACGTGATGGTAACCACATCAAGACGAGCGATCCCGGGGAATACTGTACGTCGCGGTGCTGGCGATCGTAAGCACTCTTTTGGTTAAGCTGCGAGGCACATAACCGATACCGGGCGACTTGGCGGGCGATGTCAGCTCAGGCCAGGGCATCACGAGCATAAGCAGTCGATGAGGGGGGTCGGTCTGATTGGAGCATGGTGTCCATGGGCAAAGGCGGGTCATAACCAAACAGTAGGTCAAAAGGTGAAAATCCAGCTGTATCATGACGTGAACTGTTGTATGCAAAGGTAACGAAAGGTAAGTGGATGTCCCAAACTTTGTGATCCTTGGAGACGTACATCGCTAACATATTCATCAGGGCACGGTTGAGGCGTTGCGTGAGGCTGTTGGTTTGTGGGTGGCACGCTGTAGTGAACTTGTGGTGGGTAGAGCAGGATCGCAGGAGCTCGTCCACTACTTTAGATAGAAAACGGCGGCCGCGGTCGCTGATCAACTGACGAGGAGCACCATGACGCAGAATGATGTCATGAAGAAGGAAATCGGCTACATCAGTAGCGCAGCTGGTGGGGAGGGCGCGTGTAACGGCATACTGCATTGCGTAGTCGGCAGCAATAGCAATCCACTTATTACCGGTGACTGACACGGGAAAAGGTCCTAGAAGATCGAGGCCGACTCGGAAAAATGGCTCAACTGGTACTTCAATGGGCTGGAGGATACCAGCAGGTCCCAGAGCAGGTGTCTTGCGGCGCTGGCAGAGGTAGCATGCCGTAACGTACTGTCGCACAGAACGGTAGAGGCCAAGCCAAATAAATCGGCGGCGAACGCGATCATACGTGCATGACACCCCTAGGTGTCCAGCAGAGGGGGCATCATGGAGCTGGGCCGAAACGTCTGAGCGAAAACGTCTGAACGAGTAAAAGCTCAGCACCATCTGGGCGGGCGTTGTAGCGATGAAAGATGTCGTTGTGAAGAACGAACAGTTGTAAGGAGTGGTCAGGGTGGGGAGAGGGCAGACCATTGATAATAGCACGCAAAGAGGGGTCGCGGCATTGTTCAGCAGCTATGTCGGTGAAGTCGGTAATTGAAAGAACGAGGGCCTCTTGTCCATCTTCCATCATGTCAGGGGGATCGACTGGGTAACGGGACAAGCAGTCGGCATCCTTGTGAAGTTGTCCGGATTTATAGGACACGGAAAAAGTGTACTCTTGTAAGTGCAGCGTCCAGCGACCAAGGCGTCCCGTAGGGTCGTTGAGTGAGGAGAGCCAGTAAAGCGCATGGTGGTCCGTAATAACCGAGAATGGTCGGCCATACAGGTACGGTCGGAATTTCGCAATGGCCCAGACGAGAGCTAAGCACTCGCGTTCTGTGATCGAATAATTTTGTTCCAAGGGCGACAACAGTCGCTTGCGTACGCGACGACGCGGTGCATTCCTTGTTGCCGCTGCGCCAGCACTGCGCCTATGCCGTGGCCACTGGCGTCAGTACGAAGCTCCGTGGCGGCAGATGGGTCGAAGTGTGCTAGGACTGGTGGATTAGTGAGAATGTCAACGAGCGACGAGAAGGCGTTTGCTTGCTGTTGGCCCCAGGTGAATGCGACATCCGTTTTGAGGAGGCAGGTTAGAGGACGGGCTATTTCAGCAAACTTCTCGACAAAACGACGGAAATAGGAGCACAGTCCCAGAAAACTTTGGACGTCCTTGGCTGAACGGGGTGTGGGGAAGTCGCGAACTGCTCGGACTTTCGCAGGGTCTGGTTGAACGCCCGCAGCGTCAACAAGATGGCCGAGTACGCAGATTTGGCGTTGGCCAAAGCAACATTTGGACGAGTTAAGTTGCAAGTTGGCACGTCAGAAAACATCAAGCACTGTGGACAGACGGGTAAGATGGTCGTCGAAAGTAGTCGAAAAAACAACAACGTCGTCAAGATAGCAGAGGCGGATGGTCCACTTCATGCCTCGAAGGAGAGAGTCGATCATGCGCTCAAAAGTTGCGGGGGCATTGCATAATTCAAAAGGCATCATCTTGAACTGATAAAGTCCACAGGAGTCACGAAGGCCATCTTCTCTCTGTCTTTGTCCTTTGTCGTCCACAGCGATCTGCCAGTAGCTTGTGCGAAGGTCTATTGAAGAGAAATATTTGGCACTGTGTAAGCAATCGAGTGCATCATCTATGCGCGGTAGGGGATAGACATCTTTCTTGGCAATATGGTTGAGATGGCAGTAATCAACACAGAATCTCCACCTATTGTCCTTCTTTTTAACAAATACAACGGGTGAGGACCAGGGACTAGATGAGGGTTCAACTATGCCCTTATGAAGCATTTTATCGACTTCTCGCTGTATAATAGCACGCTCCGGGGCTGACACACGGTAGAGCCGTCGGCGAATGGGTCGAGCGTCACCAGTGTCGATGCGATGGGTTACCACGGATGTCTGGCCCAAATTACGGTCACCGAAGTCAAAGATGTCCTGATAAGAAGCAAGCACATGGCAGAGAGCAGAGACTTGTTCAGAGGTGAGCTTGTCAGATAGCATTGGCTTGAAAAGGTCGGAACAGGTACGTGACGAGAGCAACGTTGATGAAAAATCGGGTGGCGAATCGGTGGCTAGGGCGGAAACTGTGTGGTCCACCAGTGGTGTCAGATGCGCAAGTGACATGCCACGAGGAATAACTTGCACTAAGAAGCCAAAATTGAAGACAGGAAATGAAGTTCGGTTGTTCTTAACGGTAACCACCGTGTTGGGGAGTGCAACATCACGTGTCATGGCCACGTCAGAAATTGGGGCAGCAACATAATCACCATCAAGTACTGGAGAATATGGCGAGAGTTGGACTTGGACTGCGGCTTGCGGCGGAAGTCTGAGGAAATCGACAGAGCGTCAACGAGGTGGACTGGTAGAGACGGTCTCTGAGAAGGATGGTAGTTCGAGCCGAAGAAGACCTTTGGAACAGTCAATGAGCGCAGCGTGTGAAGTCAGAAAGTCGAGTCCAAGGATGAGATCATGAGGGCAATTTTCCAGTAAAGCAAACAGAACTGAAGTTTGATGCTCAGAAATCGTTAATCGCGCAGTGCACATTTCAAGGACAGCAGGAGTAGTCTTATCCGCTGTACGAACGGTAGGTGCAATCGCAGACGTCAGAACTTTTTTGAGGCGACGGCGGAGGTCTGAGCTCGTCACAGATATTTGCGCACCGGTATCAATAAGAGAAGTTACAAGTAAACCATCAACGAGAATTGCAAGAAGGTTGCACCGCTGGTCGGGACTAAGAGGATTTGCAGTCCGAGTCGTGTATGCAGCATCACCTCCGAGGGCTGCACCGGCTAGTTTTCCGAGCGACGGTCGTAGGGAGATTGAGAACGGCGAGGTTGGGGCGAGCGGGACTGACGACGCACGGGCGATGGCGAGCGGCTGGTCCGACGTGTTATGCTCTGCACCTGTCTCAGCACGGGAGGACGGGGCATAAGGTGCACGTTCGGAGCGAGGTCCCCAATCATAGAAGCTCGGTCGAGGTGATGAGGTCCAACGGCTGTGGCAATGGCGAGCGATGTGTCCTATCCGATGGCACGTGAAACATATGGGCCGATCATCATGAGTGCGCCATTCAGCTGGGTTTCGTCGTGGTGCGAACGTGCAGTTTGGAGTGGCAGCTGCAACGACTGGAGCCGAGCTGGGAGTAGCAGGGGCATTATGATGAGGTGGCGAAATGCCCATATTCACGATCTCTTGGCGAACCACGGCCTGTATCATTGAAACAGCATCAAGGTTGTGTCCTGGCGCGCTGACGCTAGACATAGCGGATGCCATAGCCTCGAGTTCCCGACGGACTATTCTGGTGACGCTTTCCGGCGCTGGTGGTTGATGTAGTGTGGGCAAATCTTCACAAGAGGACGTAGCCGCCGTGTTGGGAAGGCGGTCAAATCGGTGAACTATGCGCCTATTTTTCGCCTGTTCGAAGCGACGACATGCTTCGATGACCGACTCCACCGTCGAGCAGTTATTGCACAGCAGAACATTGAAGGCATCATCGGCAATTCCTTTCAGGATGTGTCAGACTTTGTCCTCGTCGAGCATGTCCTTGTCTACCTTGCGGCACAAAGCCAACACGTCCTGGATGTATACAATGTACGGCTCTGTGGATGTCTGGGCACGAGTCGCAAGCTCTTCCTTTGCGGCCACTTGACATCCGATGGCTTTCCCGAATAGATAGCGCAATTTCTGCTTACAGACGTCCCAGCTGGTCAACTCTTCTTGATGTGTCTCGTACCAGAGTTTTGCCGTGCCATGCAAGTAGAAGATGATGTTCGCCAACATAAGAGTCGGATCCCAGTGGTTGCTGCTGCTGACGCGCTCATATAGAACCAGCCAGTCATCGACGTCTATGCCACTTGTGCCGTTGAATGGGCCTGGATCACGAGGTTGCACCACAACGATCGGTTGCGGGGCTGACGAATCTTGTTGACGTTGAGTAGCTTGGTCAGTCATCGCTGTAGCTGCAATGCGCCGTCCGCTGCGAAGATCCAGCTCATGGGGCTGTATAGCGAGTTGTACCCCGCACCTTCCACCAATGATGTTAATTACGGGGAATAAAGTATACACGATGAATATACTGGCGAGCAAATGCGTACAACACTGCTGCAGTCCGAGCACGTTCCCCTCAGCACTTCGTCGTCATCCTCAGGCATCTACTTAGCTCGTGACAATATCTCGGAAGAGACCAGAGAAAATGTCCAAAAGATTCGGCAACCTGGTATAATGAGGGTCAAACAAACAAGCTTTTACTTTAAATTTTTTTGTAAAACAAACTGTATAGCAGAAGAAAAATACTCACTGCAAAATTTGCAATGTCTCCTTAGTGGGACCCACAGGAGAGGAAGGTGTCTGTTGCCGGACCCGTTTTCTTCTACTTCTTCTAAGAGACTTCCCACTGGCTGTACTTGATTTGCTGTTTTGGGACCTGCAAGCGACATCAGTTGGGATGTTCAAGGTTATGTATGCTGCCCCACTACATAAATGGATGCGCTAGTTTGTTCTAAGTATAGCCAATGGATACAAAAGATTTCCAATAGGAAAAAAGCAGTTGTCAGAAAATATGGTGAAACCATGTTTTACATTAGGCAGCTAAAAGAACCTAGGAAATGGCGATGCACGACAACAATGGTTATTTTTCTTGCTAGAGGGTTAACTTCATTGAATGCACAACAGCTTTAAAGTCAAGAAACAATCTTTCTTGAAGCACACAAGCACTAAGAACGGGCACATGAGAGCACCCATGGTAAAAGTACGTGGGTCTGACCCTAGCTTTTCGCTTGGACCGTTACAGTGCTTGCCAGATCCAAGCGAATTTGGCAAAGCGCAACAAATAGCTGCATAATTCAACCACGAATTTCTTTGTTTAGCAGCGACAGCCTCTCCGTGATCTACATCTGTCAAGCGTTTCTGCATGCCATGGTTGAACCAACTGAGCAGCTGCGCAACGCAACGCTGACAACGGCAGCACTGTACACTTCAGTAGTTACTGTACAAGCACTACCTAAAAAAAACAACTACAAGTAACATCCATTGACACTGTCGACAAGTACAATGATGTTCCCATATTTATAGGCACACAAGACAGTATAGTTAGTAGAGTTGACGTTTAGTAAAATACTATGCATCGCCTGGACAGCACAATTATTGCTCGCACCATATGTGTAACAAATGAAAAGCGTCAACCACACCTCAACGATGCTAATGGCAAATGCTGGATATTACACACGCCAGTTGTGCTTTCATGGGTTGGCTCACACGTGACCATATCAAAGATATACATACTTGTAAGCAATACGAGATGGAGCACTAAAATTACCTTTCAAAGGATGTAGAAACTAAATGCACCTGGCAAGTTCAAAAGTGTTAATGGCAATAAATACTGTGGGGGAGCACGTGCACCCAGTCTCTCTTTCCCTTTTTACGGCAGCACGAAAGCCTAGCTGCGGGAACACCTCCACGGCCAACGCTTGCGATTCTCCCTTTCTCGGCGTGCGGAATGGGTTTCCCCTCCCTCAGCGAGAAAAGGTATTATTCTCGTCAGGGAGAGGGAAACCAGGTCAGTGGACGAAAATAGCGTGCGGACGGCCGCACGCCGCTCTCTCTGACACCGGCCAGGAACGAAGGAGGCCGAACCCGCAACCCCCTTGCGAGCCGAGGACGACAACGACCAAGCATCTACCCTTGTTTTCTGTACTATCTCCTCGCAACGTTTGCACGCTATTGCGAACGCCTAGCAATAAAGTGTCGTTTTGTTGACCTAGCATGTTGCCTTATTCGCCCGAACCAGTGTAGCTACAATGAGATTAGCTACGGATAGGGGACGTTAATCGTGCACGGTATGACTGTGTGTGGCTGAAACATTAGCTAGGCTTCTGCGTCAGCCGTACATAGAACGGACCCCCTACAATACTAAAGCAGAAAGGTACTGCCTAATTCCTTCCGCAAAGAAAGGTACCTCTAGCAACTCTACACATCAAATTCATGATTTGCAAATAATCATTAAAGAAATACGAATTCAGCGTTCCAGCTCGTATTGCTTATGATGGCATGGCTTGACGGTATCAGCACGCTAATAACATGCATGCCACTTTACTGCTAGGTTCTGAAAACTTCCGCTTGCTAATACCAACAATGACCACATTATTCATATCACATTTTGTGCGTAGAGACACATACAGGTGCGTTTGAGTGTGTATTTAAGGAAAAATCAACAAATGGTGATGTGTTTCTTTCGTTTTGTGCTCCCATGGCACCAATCAGCACTGTGTGACCACACAGCCACTCACTTGGTGTACATACTTTTCCCGTAGTGTTCCACACACTCTCATTGCGTTCTGAGACTGCTTGAAAAAGGTATATTGTGAACACATAATTTGCACATTGGGCCCACAATAGAGGTTGATTAATCACAGCAACATTGAATGATCAGAAACAACAATTGCATAGAATTTGTGATGAAAAAAAAAAACGTCAGTATAAAACAATATGTATGCATTCTCTAGTGCATTATCATGCTATGCAAGATAACAGTATTAAACAATGAATAAATAAATGTCAAAAAAAGCTGTACGTACAGGACGATACACTCATCATCAGCCTCGTGCAGGTTCTCGGCGGCAGCCTTCGTCTTTGGTGTACATTTGCTGGCAAGCCCAGTGTTCTGGTTTCCTTAAAGCGAAAAAAATTTGACTTGTATGGCAAGAGTCACTTTCGTTACAGAATGCAAGTTAAAACACTCATGCAATTTTCCTTCACACATCCACAATAGTTTAGGAAGACACAAGATATTAGGTCATGAACAATAAATAGTAGTATCTAAGCTTTTACATGCCCCCTACACAACACGTTTATGAGTCATGCCGCCAGTAGTGATGGCCTCCAGAAATTTTGATCGCTTGGTGTTCTTTCAAGGGGACCTGCAACACTTTTTCAAGATGGTCAGGAAATGCTGCCCATTGGCAGACGAGGTTACTAAGCATGTGAGCAAACATAGCACAGCACACAGTATAAAATTTACAATAAAGTTTCAAAGTGAGCTGCAACTCACTCATTCTTCTAATGCCATAAGCTTAATCTCGTTCACGGCCATCGACCTATTTGAGCAACCTGAACAGCACAGTTACAACGGCCACCGTGGGGTGACATGGCACACCCGCTGGCAGAGTTACACGCAATAAGCTATTACACCAACGAAGTTGCAACCATACTGATTTAGAATCGCATGCCTTCATGAAGGTCAACATGCATGCTGATGTACGAACTTAGCTGCTTTAATCCTTGTCACTACCTCCCGCGTCCCGTTTCGGTATATCTTTACAGAGCGCTCGCCGCTGGGACGAATGAAGAGAAAGAAAGTGCTGAGGGGGTGCGAAAAATTCTTGTACGCGGCACATTCTAAACATTTTTTTGCAACAGTCAATTCGCGAGTCAGTAAACTACGATATTGAGATCATTCGATCATTACTCGGTAAAGTGACATAGGGCGCCTTTAACATGCACTGACATCGCAAAGCACACAGACCTCTAGCATTTCGCCCCCATCGAAATGCGACCGCAGCAGTCTATTGAGTCGGAAAGAAAATTATAGCAGAAATATGCTTGAAGTTACCAAATATCCCGATTCTCTGGCTAAAGCCCCGCTGTCCCGTCAACCTGCTTGTGGTGCGCTGTTTTGTCTCCCTTTCGGTCGAAAACCACCTTGTAGTTGATGAGGTCAGCTACTATGCATGGCTATGATCTACCTTTTTCGCTTTCTTGCCGTCTTTTATTCCTTCCTTCTTTCTCTCTGGATATGCTTCTCATTCTCTAGCCCACAGCAACACAATCGTATGGTTTCCACAATCGCTTGCTTGGCTTCTGCGCTTGGATAACAGAGTGGTTAGGATGGCTGCCTTCGAACCATGGGTGCAAGAGTTGGAACCCCGCCACAAAATTTTATTTGGTTTCCGTCTAATTCTTCTCTTCCTCCTCTCCACTTTGGCGAGCAGAGTTAACGATCATCTCCCACCAAATTTCTTCGCTCTGCTCTTTCTCTTTCACGAGTCAGCCTTCCCTAACACCTGCTTTGCTCGGTAGCGGATTTGCTTGATTCTTGCGGCGCATAAGCGCGCGGCTTTTTATGCACACCACGTGGACTCAATCCCAGCCTAAAGACAGCTCCGCAGTTGAAAGTGGACTCTCCTGTTTCAGCTGTTCAACATGTTGCTCGGCGATTCGGCAAAGCTACTGCCCCTCCGTTCCACTTTGGAGAATACGGCATTTACACGACTTTAAGTATTACAAAACAAGCAGCAAAATGACTAGCGAGCGTGCGCACATAACACAATAAACTCGAAACGATGCCGTCAACTAGCATAGCGTCAAGCAGCGCTCTCATTTCCAAATTTTCATCAAATCTTCAAAGTTCAGACTTCAAAAATGCGAAAATAATACATACCTGTCGATTGTTTTAAGCGGTTCTCCACCTCCAGAATGGCATCTTTAGAGAAGATATTCGACCCAAACAGGTTCCTCGAGTTGCCGACGTCGAAAAATTGCTCTTCTTTCTGGTTTGCAGACTGTTCCTCCTGCTTCAATTCGACGGGCTGACTGGAAGGCGTGATCTTGCGTCTTCGAGCTAAAACGAAAATCAGGAGGTTTATTTCAACACACAACAGACGACTGCCTTCATAAGCACGAGAAATAAACAGACGCCGGGCAAATAGCGCGCGCAAGTGCCTACTTCAAATGCTCATAAACTTACGCATTAGAAGATTCTGCGGCGCCGTTCCTTGCCAGACGTTCTTCTTGCGAGCGCTAGAATAATCAAGCGGACAGTAGCGGTGCTTTATTTATACAAACTAGTGAACAAAAACAGTGTTATGATCCGCACACAACGGCACACAATCAAAATACCACCCGGCTAACCTAATGCTGGGCGGCTGGGCTTGGCTTGGCTAGAAGCACTCTAACCACGGTTTTGGCTGGTTTCGACTGCTGCGATGGTTGGTTTTCGTCGTTTGGATAGTCGCACTTGATTAGGAACACAGCGCCCATGCCGTAGTTTTTTTTTTTTGTTTTTTTATCTTCTTCAATGTTTGTGGCACTATTGTCACTTCAAGGAGCTTCAGCGCGCAAGAGATTAAGATGTTTTTTAGAAAACAATGTGGCTTAAACAAAAATTTAGTAAATTTAGCAACTGTTCAGGTAGACTCAATAAGGTACAACTACAGATACAAAACACATTCAACTAAAGCGGCATATTTACCGAGAGTACAAAATTTTCACTTTCACTTGCTTTCGGTTGCGATTTCCAAGAGCGCGAGGGAGGGAAAGCGCAGAGGAAAGTAATGGCCACGCCACTATGGCGCGTAGTGCTAGCTCGAGCTCCAGCTGTGAAGTGAGAAATGTGTGTTGTCGGGGTGTTTCGGTAGCAGATCTGCGCCGCGAGTGAATCATGACTGCCAGCAGCATGCAACTGAACCGGGAGACGCTGCCTCTCGAAGAGGACGAACTGGCAAGGCTGTCCCGGAAGGCTCCGACGGAGATCATCCACAGCGGACACTTTATGGTATCCGACATCGACGATGCAGACAACACGGACGAAGTTGCGCGAGCCAGCGAGTCGGACTGTGCGACCGAAGTGCCCGGCTCGCTGGCCGCCCCTCTGGCCGAAGCCGTCGAAGAGATCTCTTTCGACCCTGACGAGGAAATGGAAGTGGACAAACATTTGAAGCCGCCGTGCCATATAGCCATCGATGGTTCGCTGACCAAGCTCTTCGAGTGCATGACTCTGGCATACAGGTAAGCATGCGAGTCTTCTCACTATTACACGGACTGGCTCGTGATTCGAGATCAATGACATGCTAAGACCATTGGTCGTTTCTTTCGGAAGTGCACGCTTCAGCTGTTCGCGGTGCGCTTCCTCGAGCACAGATTTCGGCGCACATTTTCTGCTGGCTGCTTGCCGTTGCTTTCACAAGCCCGTCTGTGACCCAGATAATCGATCGATGAACATTTATGACCGAACAGTTTCACGCGAAACCACTTAGAGCATGTTGGGGAAAACGCGTGAAATTATTCACCTGCTCAAAGGAAAGGAATGTGTTGCCCCGCACGGGCTGCTTCTGTTGTCAGGCGCGCGTTTCCAACGGCGCGATGCGTGTTGACATCAGCGAAATGGCGCATATCGGCTCGCATGTTGCCCTTGATTACAAAGAAAGTCTATTCAGCGCGATAAAGATGATTGATAGGCAGACGACATTGTAGCAGCGCGACGCGACGAGTTGCCCTTGAATAGTATGGACATTTCTATTCTGGCTGTGTCTACTCTAGCAAGGCTTCATCGCCGCGATTCCAACATTATTGAAAGCGTGCTGAAAGAAGTCTTCACCGGCTGTATTATTTGTTGATAGGTGTGTCTTCCGCGTCATGTCTTTCTCCGCACCTCTGCCGAGATCCGAAACCTCCTCACGTTCTAAGCAGTGCGCTGCCGTAACAATAATTATAAAGGTGACGTGATGGCGAGCATTTACGCGATGCGTCGATGTGTGTTTAGAGTAAATCATTGCATTCTTATATGCATAACAGGAACTCAGGTAAATCTTCAAGTAAATCATGAACACTTCATTTGTAGCCTCGTGTCCACACCATAAATTTGGATTTGCATTAATGTTTATCGGTGGGTAGACTTGCATGATGAACCATTGCAAGCATTGTCACAGTCTAATAAGCTTACTTACTGCAGTATTTTCAAAAACTAATATTTTGCGTGACACGTTCTTCCTTAGAAGTGTGGCAGTTTGGCGCTAGTTTGTTCTTTCTTGTCCCTTTGTCGTCATCCTGTTCTCCTTCCATAACTATCGTCATGTCTTCCTATCCGGCTGTAGCATTAGAAGAAAAAGATTATTTTCTACAGCACTGGTTCATGTCCTGATGACTACTTCTTGTGAAGGCCATGAAGATTTGATAACTTAAACGGTTTTGTTGAACTTGTTATGTTATGCAAGGCTAGGATGACTTGAACGGTTTTGTTAAATTTGTTATCCAAGGCTACGTGCTAATCTTGATGTTATCATGCAATCCCAGCTCTGAAGCACACTCTTATGATCAGCTGAGAAGAAAAAAAAAAAACCTGAACTGGCGCTTTGTTGCGTTGAATCTTGCATCTTGAACGGCATTGCTAAATGCTCACTTTCAATGTTCACTGTAACACTTTTTCAGCTTTATCAGAAAATACTGTCCACCAGCAGTAGAGGCTCCTTAAATAATTTGAGCCAAACGTTACAGCGCAGCATGCAGCCTGGAATTTACAATTCTCAAAGTCAGCTAGACATCGTTTCCTCTTCTCTCGATAACCCGATGTCCCAAACCCAAGTTCCATCGCCAGCCATTGATTTATTTGAGCACATGAGCTGCATAGTTACAGTGGGCACCATGAGATGTCACCTGCTTGCCCACACGAGCACGAACGATTCACACTTAAAGTAAGCCACACATTTGAGCAGGTAGTAATGTGCACTGATGAAGGGACACACTTTTTTGCCCCCATGTCATCCCCCTCCCTGCATAGCTTTCAGTGTGCTCTCCAGTCACCAAAGGAGGGAGAAAGAGCTTCACGCTGGCAACGAATACCACCCTGTAACTCCACTCATATGTGGCATATTCTGGAAATTTTTTTTTCGCAGTCAATTTGTGTGACAACAAGCTCCTTCCAGTGAAGTCATTCGATGATTACTTGGAAAAATTTTGCAGGGCCCGTTTAATGGCTCATATATACCAGTTAGCCAGAGTCGCTTTGTGACATTAGATAACATAAACCAACAAAAAGCTCGCTGAATCCCACTGGCAGTGCAGCCAGGTTTGTCCTCACGCTGATTAGCTCAAAGTGATTGGTTTTCATCTAGAAGTTACTTTTGTGAGTGATGCAATTGCTGATCAATTTTTCTGTTGCCAAGGCCGCAGAAAAATTAGCCAAAACATTGTGCTATATGAGAAAACTGCCTTTTCTGGCTAACATTTTTATCTCACCTGGTAGCTGTTGTCTTGATTTTTTATTATTTCAAGCTGCACATCAAGCTATAACCTGCCATCAATTAAAACCAGAAAGATAAGGGAGGTGATAAGGTCAAATTTTTTTGTCTAAACAATGATTTTATTACGATGTGGCATGCATAATAGTATATTTTGCATAAGTCTGCTGCCTGAAAACAAAAGCCATCATTCAGTATTTTTAATTGGAGCAACAGAATCTCTGTAGCAAATGTGCACTCAAAAATGCGAATTACCAACACTACCAATGGAACTTTATGTGGAGAGAGAAATTTAGCATTTTCATGATCTAGCACCCTTGCTTATCTGAACAAAACAGACTATTGAATAAGATGACTACTTTCCCTCTTTATGGTACGGGAATGTAAAATCCTTTTTTTTTACAATTAAGTTTTTCTTATTCTCATTTATTAGTCAGAATAATAATATACAATGAGCCCGCCCTGTTGCACTTGGGTTTATGTCATTACCTTATTCTTACTGATACAATCATGTGCCATGGCTGTGTTATCAATATGCACTAAAGTGAAAGCTAGTTATCATTTCTTTAAAGTTGTGCTTTAGCTTGTTAGATCTGTTTTCTGTTGACCATGCAACTACCCAGCAGTGGAGGCACCATTGCTGCATTTAATAGGCAGCTGAATGCGCATGACACTGCTTCAGTGATATTCGTTCGGTTTTGTCAGCTCTTGTAGTCAGCGTTTTTGTTTCTTGAGTCATACCGCGTAATCTTGAAAGCATGTTAAAGGCTTTAACCGTAGGAAGCCCAAAATTTCCAGAGCCCCCTGCTGCAGTGTCGCTCATAATCATATTATAGTTTTTGGACATTATACTCCAACAGTTATGATTACATTGTCTAGCATTCTAAAATGTTGATGTTATTTGCTACAAAATTTTGTTTGGCACTGATTGCTACTTGTGAATTCACCAGTCGAACCACTTTCAATGAGCTGCTGTAATATGGATGCCTGAATTGTAGGTAGCACTTGCAGTTTAAGGCTGACAAAAACTTGTTTAGATTTTAGTAAATGTTTTTAACCACTTTTGGTGAAATGGCTGATAGGGAGCTAAGCATTGGTCGCTGTGCATACAGGATGGCCCCTTGTATGATGACACCTCCATGATATTGAACGAATATTCTTCATTATGCAGGCTCTGTAAAGGCAGACCACATTATTTAAGCAAAAGTGAAGATACATTATCCTCTTCAAGCAGCATTTGTGAACACTTTATTTGGCCTCACAATATTCATTCACAATATCCAGTGCTGACAAAAGAGACATGTTGCTTAAAAGTCAAGGAGAGCAAGAATTTATTCTCTTTGAAAGCTGAAAACCCTTGTCGCGTTAGATATGTTCTATTTTCAGCTGAAATTTTTTTAGAGCATATGGGAGGAAAAAAAGAGCAGAAATAAAAGGATGGTAATGATAATAGAGACACTCGTGGAGGTGCATCTTGTATTCATATGCTGTTGTCATTTCATCATCATCAGCCTGACTACGTCCACTGCAGGACAAAGGCCTCTCCCATGTTCCGCCAGTTAACACGGTCCTGTGCTTGCTGCTGCCAATTTATACCCACAAACTTCTTAATCTCATCTGCCCACCTAACCTTCTATCTCCCCCTAACCCGCTTCCATTCTCTGGGAATCCAGTTGGTTACCCTTAATGACCAGCGGTTATCTTGTCTACGCGCTGCATGCCCGGCCCATGTCCATTTTTTTTCTTGATTTCAGCTATGATATCCTTAACCCCCATTGTTCCCTAGTCCACTCTGCTCTCTTCTTGTCTCTTAAGGTTACACCTACCATTTTTCTTTCCATTGCTCGCTGCGTCGTCCTCAATTTAAGCTGAACCCTCTTTGTACGTCTCCAGGTTTCTGCTCCATAGCTAAGTACTGGCAAGATACAGCTGTTATATACCTTCCTCTTGAGGGATAGTCATTTATAGTCATTTATACAACCTTAAAGGGATTCACAACTGGCGGAAAATTGTGATTAGATCCTGGTAGGAATGAAAAGTCCAGGAAATATGGCGACAGATTTCAGAATCCTTTTTGTATCGTGAGCAGGATTTATATTTTAATCTTGTTTAAAGGGACACGAAAGAGCAAAATGATTTTTTGCGTATTGGTAAAGTACAATTTCACAATCTCGAAAACACCACTCATATTGCCACACGATGATTGATACGTATTGTCACACGATGATTGATAAGCAAGAAAACGGGCGGAAAAAAAATGCAGTTGGAGATAAGATTCTCACACCAAACACCATGACGTAGTAAATTTTGAAGGTGTCTACTGGGTTCTACATAGCTTCTACTTGATAAATAAGGTGTATTGTCATCTGTGACTGGCTTAGACCTAGCATAGGAACTCTCGGAAAATTTCATCGAGCCAGTATCGCGAAAATACAAGAAAGACATTTTGAAATTTCTTGTCATGTGCGGAGATTTCGGTGCAAAAATTAAAATGAAAGTTCAACCTTAATAATTTTCTCTGTTAGTAGTGTACTCATGACAGTGAAACTTATGGAATTAGAGTTAGTGCAGCTTGTCAATCTAAACCACATCATTGTTTATCTTTAGTGTCCCTTCAAAAGTAACAGAAAACGGGTATGTCACACAGCCCTGCTAAAGAGCCTTGAAGATGGATTATTCAGACGATCACTTTGTTGTACGTAGTTGCGTAGTCTGATGCTGTCATGCATGCCCTAATCAGTCCTAAAAGTTAGAGTATGTATATTATTATCT